GGGGGGGTGGCAGAGTAAAAATGGCACATATTTGAGAGGGGCCATATTTGAGAAGGGCATATTTAAAAGGGAGGCATATTAGCAAGGAGGGAGCTTCTTAGAGTGAAGGTAGCTTAGTTGAAACGCAAAGAACTTAATACAAGATTTAGAGTATAGGGGAGTATTTACACAATTGATAATATCTGTTAGCAGACGTTTTACTACTGTATTGAAGATTAGTTATCATAGTTACATAAACGTACGGGAGGAGGGGGGGGGGGGGCTGCCCCAGATTGTTGGGCAGACTGGGCCAGTCGGGCAATGTTCGCTTCACAGTCGGGCAAGATTGCCTTTAATATTATAAAAATAAATAGGAGAAATAAATAGATGAAAAAGTCGGCAACTTTTTTTCCACCCTCCTAATTTTTTCCTTCCCGTACACCTATGTTACCGTATGCTTACCCACTTAATCTTGGATGGTGATTGTGGAAACGTCAATCCAAAATTCACAATAACATAGACAGAGACAATGAGAATGGCCAATATAAGACAGTAGAGTTCAAACTCTCTCTCTCGCAAAACACCATGGATGGTATAAAATAGACAGAATGCTAGAAATATAGATAGTCATGAAAATCTACTTTATTTTGAGAATGCGACTAGCTACCAGAAACAATGGTACTCTCAAAGAGGTCTATAAGTGGTAATAATATACAAGGCTGCCAACTTTGTCCTAGGCACCTAGCTCAAAAAGGGCCACAAAGCAACAAAGGCCCTTAAAACTTCTTGATACAAGATTGCTTAACTGAGAATATAAATCCTATCCACGTTAGAGCCGGATAATATGTAATAAAGTGTAATAAATTTAAAACAATGCTTCCCCCCATTTTACAAATATGACATCATAGGAGCCCCCTTTGAACATTTCGCACTGGCCCTAAACAACCTTTCGGATAGATGAGAAACACAATTCAAATTGCTAGGCTATATCTTTTGGGATTGATGAGTTTACCTGCATTAAAGAGCAATAAAACTGCAAATATATAATCGGAAGAATGAGGGTGAAGCCTCACTATCAGGGTGTGTAGCGTAAATCCAATGGTTGCCACCAGACAAGAAACACACAGGATTAAAAATATCCATTCTTTTCGATCAAGACCAGCCAAGGTTTTGGTCTAAATAATGAATCATACACAAATTAGCAAGAGAATGTGAGCTCATTGGTGCATAGGTTGTATATATAAGTACTGGTATAGGTTATTGTAAGAGGGATGAAGCAATATTAGTTTTATCGCTTGAGGAGATTATATATCATGTCATGAGTGAGTGCAAGAACAATTAAGGGACATTTATGATATCGTACTGAAATGATAAAACTGAAATTGCCTCATCCCAATCATGATAACCTGTTTATTATATACTCGTTCCTTCGTCAGGGTGATATGACATATCGTTTTTATGTCGCCTTGATAAATTAGTATGTGATAATTGCATTTTTTATATAGCATTTGTAAATTCTGAACGCTGATTGGCTAACACAATTTCTCGTTTTCCCAATTCCCACTCGTGTTGATATAACTGTATATCAACGCGGAAAATATATTATATTTGTTATTAAATATATATTGCATATAATTTATCACACAGTATGACAGGTCATATGATATTGATATGTTTGAAAAATATGTTGCAAATAGTTATTTCCTTAATACAAGCTAGCTCAATATTTTAAACCTCAATTCATCACCGAAATAATAATACTCAGGGTCATAAAAACACAAGCACAACATACATACCTTGCCCAGAACTGTACCTGTCATTTCGCCTTGGGAGTGATAACTCGACAGACTTCGGTAAGTGTCACTTGTGGCAGAATTAGTATCGCTTAACTCGCCAGACTCGTTCCACATATTTACACAAAACCTCTCAATCCTTGCATTAAAAACTATCTAGCGTTGTAAATTAAAACTTAAAAATTGCGTTGAATGCTCCAAATAAAATATTAAACTTCCTTCCTGGAAAAATCTGCAGCCATATTGATATTGTTAGATTCTCCATATCATTTTTCCTTACATGAAGTTCTTCATGGTGCGAGGGAAATGCGCGATGCGTGGGGCACGCGCGGACCAAACACATAAAACGAATACACGCAAAACCTGCAGCAGACTTGTAGCAATGCTGTTCCAACAACTTGTCTACAACAAACAACAACTTGACAACTTGCTACAAGGTTGTTGAGCTCAACATACTTGTTAAAAGTTATTCCAATAACTTGTTATCGTCCTGCAATTCAACAATTTGTCAACAAGTTGTGAGTGACAACCTTGTAGCAACTTGATAAAATAACAGCATTGTTACAACTTGTTGACAAGCTTGCTACAAGCCTGTTGCAAACACATCTTGTTGACAAGTTGTGAGACCTTTACGTGTGGCATATGGGTGAAAAAATTAGTCCACTGAAATGTTTAACGTATTTTTTATCTATTTACAACATATAACATAAAATATAAGGTAATATATTTCATAACATTTCCTTTGTAATTTAGCCCGAATATTTTTGCAATTCTTGTTTCAGCTGCAGGCAAAGACTTAGCTCCCCCCCCCCTCCCCCACCTTTCTCCCCCTACTTTTTACAGTTCAATGATACAGGCCGAGATTCAGTAAAAATCATTTCATAGATCTAATGGTATATTTACTATAATTATAGATTCTCTGCGTACGCTTAAATTATTTTATACAATGTCTACATATCTAGTGCTCAAAATGTCTAAAATACTTTAAATAGTAGAAATCATGAATAACATTACAGTAGTTAATAAATATAGAAGAGCCTCCTTTTCTTCTAAATTGCGGAATCTTTGAGTTTCTCCGCAGCATCCTGGCGTGTCTTTACTTACTACAGAAAAAGAAATCTGTTAAGATAATCGTTGCTAAACTATTGGGATATTTCACTTCAGTTATAGTAATTCTATTTAAAGGTTGTCACTCACAACTTGTTGACAAATTGTTGAATTGCAGGACGATAACAAGTTGTTGGAACAACTGTGTTGGAACATTGTAACGTTGTAGTAAATTGTCAACAAGCTGTTGACAACTTGTCAACAATACAAACAAGAAAAAACATACCTATTAACTCAGTTCAGATAAATCAAGGTCGCCCTCATCTTGTGGTTCAAGTTTGACTTGAACGTTTGTATGAGACAATTGGCTGCTGAAATATAAACAATACAACACATGTCAGTTGATACTATTAGACTAGTTTGGGGTGTGTGGATTAAGTCATTGCTGCAGAAGTTAGAGAGGAGGGAGCGATGCTAGATCGATAGTCCCAAATTCAAATGCCAAAAAGCTGGTTCCAAATTCAAATGCCAAAATTAATATTTGAATTAATAATTCTTGATTTTGAATTTACAATGCATATTAGAAGACTTCGCCATGCGCTAAGCTAAACTAACTTTACTCTTCTAAGTTCTCCCTAGAGATCCTGTATAAGGATAATTTCTTACTTTCTTACTGGTCCAGTGTTACTACAAGAGGAAACCTACACTAAAGTAACTTTCTTTATACTGGACAGTTCTATATCAGTTCTAAACTGTTCTCCCAGAGGTCCTGTAAAGATCATCTCTTACTGATCCAGTGTTACTACAGGAGGAAACCTAAACTAAACCAACTTTATTTATACTGGACAGCTCTATCAGTTCTAAACTGTTCTCCCTAGAGGTCCAGTAAATACCATTTCTTACTGATCCAGTGTTACTACACGAGGAAACCTAAACTAAACTAACTTTATTTATACTGGACAGCTCTATCAGTCCTAAACTGTTCTCCCTAGAGGTCCAGTAAGAATCATCTCTTACTGATCCAGTGATACTACAGAAGGAAACCTAAACTAAATTAACATCATTTATATAGAACAGGCGTTATTTAGTTTTCAACAATTTTCTCGGGCCATCCTTTGGACCACCACACAAAACGTGCTACGACTAACAGGCTACGGTCAACAACATTATAAACAAAACAAACATACTTTATATCTTTTGAACAAAATTCAACAAGTTTTGAAATTCCCGACGAGCCGTTTGCAGTAGTTTCGGTATACGCTCGTTTCATCGGTGGCTCGTCGGAATCCACCTCGTCGTCATCGTCTAGGTCTTCGGAATTAAGCTCGGGAACTTGTATTATGGTCCGCGTGGCGACTTCAAATGTGGCCTGGGTCGGGAGTTCAGAAATACACGAATCACGAAACAGCACTGAACTCTCGCTGCTATCTGGAGTGTCTTGTTTCACTTGGTTACTAAAATGAATATGGTACGGTAATTAATTCATGTGAGAGACAATTAGCCATTCCGAAGTTGATGAGTGGACTGGGGACGAGTGTTAAAAAGTGCCCAAATTAAGAAATGAACCAAATCACTAAAAAGACCACCTCAAAATTAGTAAGTATACAAAGTTTGTAGACGTTTACATGAATACCCTTCGAATAATAAGCTTTCGAAAATTGTGAAATTACTGATTAAAAGATTGTTTTTGGGAGAAATTACAATACATTTCCTAGTAAATATCACGAGTTTCGAAAGCTTGTTATTCGAAGGATATTCACGTAAACGTCTTCAAACTTTGCATACTTACTAATTTTGAGGTGGTCTTTTTAGTGATTTGGTTCATTTCTTAATTTGGGCACTTTTTAACACTCGTGCCCAGTCCACTCATCAACTTCGGAATGGCTAATAGACCCTTTCGAAACCCTTTCGATAATTACGTCACGTATCTTGTTTTGGCCTGGGAGCCTCGCTCTCATGAATTGCGAGCCAATCACCGTTCATCTTGAAACATGAGAATGAGGCTCCCAGGACAAGATGAGATACGTGACGTAATTGTCGAAAGAGTCTATTTAGCTAACGTTTATAACCAACAAATATACAGGTGCCTATAAATACTGTTTCATCTCATCTGCATATTCAAAATTTCACATCGCCGATTTGAATTTACAGTGCGTTTTAAATTCCTGACTTGCAGTAAATTGTAGTTGAGCATTAAGCCCATGGATATCTTATATACACTAGATAGTGCATCTAATTATTCTGCAATTCAAAAATTGAAGCCGTGATTGCAGGCTCAGGATATTCCCATGAAATGAGAAGACTCGTATGTTTTCTATTTCTTAAACAGGGAACTTAAACATTAAGTTAAACCTATTCCAAATACATTTTCAAACTATTCAAATGATGAAAGTTATTGTTGTCTTTTAAGCGTTTATTAGCGAGTGGGAAACACCAACATGGCCGCCATCTATGCAAATGCGGGTAACCGCTGGAATATTCTTGGCTTCAACTTTACTAAAAGAGATGCGCTATCTAGTGTATATAAGATATCTATGATTAAGCCCCATACAAACATGCTATTTTTCCTTGACAACTTTTCTTTGACAATTTTTTTTTATCGTGTGTACGTCAAAAAATTGACAAGTTTTCCTTGCCAAGGAGCCTTGTTCCAAAGCCAGTCGTGCCAGCTTTTGGACAAGGAAAATTTGTTCGTGTGTCGCCAAGGAAAATTTGACAAGTGTACAAGAAATACTTCTATGGTTTTGGCAAACAAAAGACGGTCCGGATAAAAACATTCCTTGCATACGAGTAACAAAACTTGTGGAGGGAAAGTTGTCCGTACACACGACAAATGACATTTTGGGATGTCGAGAAAACGATTATTTTGTGAGTCCTAAATGAATTAAAGCGTAATAAACACCTTAACACTTTCTGGGGCCTTCTTTTTCGATATTCCTCTTCGTCGACGGTCCAAACAGCTCCCTTGACGTTCTCCTTTCGTACAAAACACTTGTGAAGTGAAAGGTTGTGTCGAACTGCGTTCTGCAAATTAAATGACACACGTTGTTTGTTACCCAGGGTTGGCACATCGTCTTATGTTAGTTTTTCTTATGTTATATTATATGAGAAGATTTATATTTTTGCCAAAAATCGCGGATTATTCTATTTTGAAGTAGTTGTAGATTTTAAGCACTTGACATGAATTAGTCCATGCACTCACATTGTGTAAAAGATGTTGGTTATTGTACTGTTAACAATGTGCGTATTTTGTAAACTTGGGTTCATGTAAATTCAAATTGATGACATCATATTGGGACATTCGATGAAATCGTCAGGACGTCATCTTCTTATATTAATATAAGAAATAAGATTTATTTTAAAAATCTTCAATCCAACCCTGGATTGAACTAATTCCCTTGATGTTCCAGACAGAAAGCAACTAATATAAATCTATCGTAAATACCTTCCATGTGGCAGTATTTCTACGGAAATACGCAAAATTACTTGTGAACCAATTGTAGATTTCGTTCAGTGTTAGTTGTTCATCTGGGGCATCTAAGATTGCCTAGAACGAGAAGTGTTTGAAAATCAGATCAAGGTACGAATGGGTCATTTCATTTAATATAGACACCCCCTCCTATTGAAGGGTCCCTTCATAAACCCCTTAGGATATAAAAAATGTGGAACCCACCCCCTTGACACAATTTTTGGAAGTTACCTTTTTTAGGATATCTTTCTAAGCTCTTTTAGACTTGCTCCAAGTCTCGCTCGAATTGGCTTCATTTTTTATCTCATAGTAAACACCAAATTATTTACCTTTTTTTTAAATCTACCCCTAGGAAAGTTAAGGTGAAAACCCCCTGCTCTTTCATTGGATATCCAGACCCCTCAGTGGGGAGTGGGGCACATATTAAATGAATGTCTCCATATCTTTCCCAGGCCATCACTTGTCTTAGCAAAACCTTTACCTGTCTGATGAGTGAAGCGTATGTAAACGGCGGACGAACATCTGTCTTTTGATAAAAATCTGCAGACTGTTGCATATCTAAGAAAAATATATAAAAAAATTCATTTTCAAATAATGTAAATTTCAGTAAGACTTTGCTGGCAACTGTAAAATTTAACTTAAAGTTCAACTAATGGCAAGCAAATAGGCTTCAAGCTCAGAGCTTCAGATTTTGACTACCGCTATCGCTAAGTACCACTAACCAATCAGATGTGTCTAATCCACACGATTAACCAATCAAATGCGCATATATAGTGCAAGTCAAATTTGAACCTCTTGAATGTACGGCCTGCACACATAGTCCTTTGTGACCTTTGCGCAAGCTTAAGTATAAATCCTATTTGTAAGTTTATCATTGACTTTCTATTCAAATTTTCGAACTAAAAACTCCAAAGATGAATGATTGACTTACTAAATATTAACCGACTGACTGAGTTATTCAGAGCTCGTTTACAAGTTATGCAAAGTGTACCGTAGGAAAAAAGGTTTAGCCGGTACAACAATACCCTAAAGCTCTGCCGAAAGTCGTGGGTTTTCTCCGGGCGCTCCGGTTTCCTCCCACAAGGAAAGTTGACAGGGTGGGTGTAAAGATAAATAGTCAGGGTTTTTTTCAGGATGTTCTCTTGGGTCCGTTTTTGCAGAGAAGATTGAGTTTAGCTGAACAGTTGGGGGTCTGAGGCGGCTGTCTCACCGGGAGGCTGAAACCTGTACCCTCTTTAGTGTAGTTGAGATGCAATGTGTTAAAGCAGGGGCACTAAGGGACACTATAAACTGGTTAAAGACGGTGAATGCGTTGTTTTTCTTGTGTTGTGAAATGAATTCCAGCCATTGTTTACTTAATTTTCGGGTTTTCAACTGAAAACTAATTTGCACACACACTCAAACAACTTCGTTTTACTGCACAGAATCTTTTGATGAGAAGATGAATTTCAAAACTCACTTCAAGATTGAGTTTTTACGGCCCTAAAAAATCCCTGAAAAAAACCCTGATAGTCCAGGCTAAGTAAGTAACATAAGCATAATACTTGATGTAATCGGTCATTGAAAATCCCCAATGGGGAGTGACCTGAATAATAATGTGATGTACCGTAAGAAAACCCGTGCGAAGAAAAAGGTGTGTGTGAAAATTCTTAACTTAGCTCGCTTCAACTATCCAATACCTTGTGCCACCGACACAGGTGATGTCTGCGCAGATCGTTTATAATTTCCACGGCTTGTACTTGGGGTCCCTTTGTCGTTCTCTTCAACATCATTGGTCACTTCCTCACTAGATTCCATGCTCCTGCTCGATGTTGGCCGTGACCTGCTGACAGGGACTGGTGCCGAGATAACGGACGTTTCTCTACATACCATGACATTAGGTGGTCCCTGGGGAATAAGGTCTGTGGTGGAGTCACTAGGTTTGCTGGTGGAGGAGGGTTTAGACACTGTAGTGTTGTGGAGAGGTGGGGAGTCTTGCCTCGTAGGTGGGCCAGGACTAGGTATGGTACTCTAGGTGTTGGAATAAGGCATAGTTGATATAGAGGATTAGAGGTGGTTTACAAGACTCTCTGAAAACTTTAAAACTATCAAGCCTCGGTCAAAGTGGATGGGTGGGAGTTGATGGGAGAGGATGAGAGTGGTTGAGAGTTGATAGAAGTGGATGAGAAGGAGTTGATGACAGCATTGGCGTGGGAAGGGGGGGGGGGCACTGGGGGCACGTGACCCCAAAGTTTTCAAAAGCGCCCCTTTTTTTTGGTGGCAAAGTACCCTTCTGACAACGTTAACAATTTCGTTGAGATCGAAAATTTTTTTATTTTCGGAAAAAATTATCATATGTCGGAACAAAATTTTATTATTTTCGAGAAAAAAATATGATATTTCCGGAAAAATTTTGTTATTTTCAGAAAAAATTATATGTCCGGAAAAAATTATGACATGTCGCCAACATTTCCGGGAAAATTTTTTTAGGTGCCCTTTTCTTTCGAACAGTGCCCCTCGAAACCGCCCCCCCCCCCAACTTTTTGATGCTTCCTACGCCACTGGATGACAGTGTTTGTAAGTCTTGCTCGCATATGACCACCAACGTTTATCCACTCTCATTAACTCTCATTCTCGTTTGAGCAGGGCTCTACACAAGAAACAACCTGCAGGTTGCAGGTTGAGTGGGTTGCAGGTTGAAGGGGGTTTGAACCAGGACAAGGTTTATTAAAACGAGTTAAAAATTGCCAAACAATGAAATAGAAATATTCTTCATTGTTAAAAAAATTAACAGCAACAGATTAAAAAAAACAAAACTAGAAAAAATACGAAACAAAAATTGAAGAATAAAGTTAAACCTTTTGATTGTGCAAATGTTTCATCATGGCAGATAACCTGTCTCTTTCGCGGTTCACCTAAAATAATTAATTTTACATCAGTTATTTTAAATATTTAATAACTTAAATAAATTTTAAATATTAAAATACGAATGGTTAGGGGTGGGTTTATAAGGGGGTGCACAGGGGTGCGCATCCCTGTTGGCCTTGGTCAACAGGGATGCAAGGGGGTGCAGAAATATGGCATAATTTCCAAGTTTTCTCCTTTTTTGAAGTCAAACTGAAGCTCATAATTCAATGCCCAAATGACAGGAAATGGCATTTCTATGTTCTAATTTTGGACCACCTTTGGACCACCTAGGGAGCTCACACTCTCCCACCACCCCCTAAAGAGTTATAAAGAAACACTCACCCAGTACCCCCTAGAAAAACCTAGCTGGATCCACTCCCGCGAGTGATATCAAGACAGAGATATAGTACTGATTCAGATTTCCATCGCGCTATGCTCATGAAGTGCTACAAAATACGCTTGGAAAAGTGATTTCACTGATTCAAAGAATACACATTACCTGTCCCTCTAAATGTGAGACCATCTGCATCTGAACTCTAGCCTGAGCTGTACTGCGGTCATCCAAAGGGTGCTCACCATTGAGATGGCTTAAAAAGGACAAAGTGAAAAGAGGTTTATTCATTTTACTTGTTTGTGCGTTATTATTGTTGATTTCATATTTGTGAATATTCCAATCACGTTTCCCTTGCGTGGAACTTGCAAAGCCTGCGAAGTTGCTTATAAACTACACACGCAACAAGTCAACAAGTTTGGAACAAGCTGTCTCTTCATTTTAATGAAGAAGAAGGTCTCTTCGTCAATAGAAAATCTCTTCATTTTAAGGCAGTTGACTTAGAAAGGATTTGGGCGGTCCATGTCTAGTTCATATTAACTTTGGAAAGTGTAAGGATGGTTTGGAACGCATTGATCGTGTGTTGTAATTTTGTATTGTAGCTTTGTTAATTAAAGTTGTAACCTGTCTCTATTGTTTTACAATGTCAATGTAATGTGTAGGTAGGACTTAATTTGGGACTCCTCAGTCCTGTTGTCTGTACCTTCAATCGTTTTGTTGATTGTAAAGCTTATAAATTAAATCAAACTTATTGAAATTGTCAGACTTGTTACAAAGTTGTTCCAACAAGTCCGATACAGTCATATAACAATATTGTTACAACCTTGTTTCGTCAACCTTGTAACATTCCTGTTATATCATGGCTGCATCAGACTTGTTAGAACAACCTTGTAACAAGTCTGATAATGCCATCAAGCATGTTACAAGTTGTCATCAGCTTGTTCCAAACTTGTTACAACAACTGGGAACAATCAGTACGAACACAACTTGTTGACAGCTTGTGAACAGATTTGTAACAACTTGTTTGCAGACCTGTAACAACTTGTGCGTTTTAACGTGTGTACCAAAGTATGCTGAACATAAACTCGTAATTTGCAGTGATTAATTCGTTGGTTATGTACTATTTAAGACACGCGTAGGAGTGTTTTATCATATTTAAAATGCGAATGCGCAGCACGAGCATTTTAGATATGATAAAACACGAATACAAGTGTTTTGAATAGCTTCAAACACGACTACAATAGATGCCGTCACATTAGTATTTTTTGTATGGAGAATACTAATTATAGGATGGACTTTTATATAAATAATATAATATAATAAAGATGAGTTTTATCAGGTATAAAGCCTCTTAACGTGACATATTATGGTTGACATGATTTGCCAATATGCTTATGAATTATTAATTAGTGTTTGAAGTTAGTAAAACACATTATGAGTTCAACAATATGTTGAGTACTTCGTTACTTTAGTTCAGTACATCGGTAGTTTATTAAGCAACTTGCGATGTTGTTTTTGTATGCACGTCCCACGCCCAATATTCAAAATTTAGAAACGTAATCGGGAGTATTCACAACAAAGTTGGGAACAGCGCTTTGAAAAGTGACCTGAGTGCGACAATAAGTTATGGTTCACAAAAGGTTCACAACAGATTGTTGAAAGTATAGGAAAAACTTGACAGGCATATATCTGGACTTACTGCATGAATAGCTGAAATGTTTCGCAGAACGTGTCACAGCCTGGCCACTGACATACACCGTGAACATATAGAGGATGTTGGCAGCCTATAACATAAATGAATCAGAATGGTTTGAAAAGTCTTGGATCAATTAAGACCCCAATAAATTGTAGAAAACTTCGAGGGGGTGAGACCCACTTTTTGTTTGTGGAATGCGGCAGTGGTCCGACAGCGCCAGCAACACCGTTAGTGACAGGAAATCTTGAACAAAATATCTTCCTAAATTCTAGAATGCCATATAATCTACTTGTTGTTTAGAAACCCATTTTGCACTCTGTGTGACACCATATACGTATGTTATCTAAAATCTACACAATTTTTATTTTTCGTTAAAAATTTCAGTATCGTTATCGTCCGACTGAAAAAAATCTCGCTCGGGTGAGCGATTTTAAATACGTTATCGTTATCCTCAAACGATAATGTTAATATCATTTTCGTTGACGTTGTAGTGTGGACACTAACATAACTTTTTTGCCAATCATCGCGTGTTTACAAGTCATCGTATCGTTACCGTTGTGTAGTGTAACTCTGGGCCTTTATACAGGAAATTTTTATTTTTGAATTTTGCTGCCAGGAAGGATATTTTCTCTAGGCCGGGAATGCGGAATTTTCAGTTCTAAGAGACTTGGCAGGATTTCAAGTGTTTTTCAAAGTCAATTATATTTGTGTGATTTAGCGCGGGAAGCTCTAAAAATTTTCCCCTTGGGGATTTGGAAACTCGTTTTTTTATGAATGTTTTCCATGGGATGATGCACCTCGGGCCTAAAAAATATATTTCTCTTCTTGGCAACAAAATCGAAAAATAAACATAAAACTTTCCAAAGGTCGTAATAGGTTCTATTCTCACCGTGGAGGCATATTTTTCAAGCTTGCCCGGTGTGGATATATACACTTTGTAACATCACGAACAAAAGCATGGATCGGAAAATCTTGGGCATGAAGATAATGTAAAATTAATGGAAAATGTCCAATTATATTTATTCTAAATACAAAGCGGTTTTAGGCCGAGTAACTTTTTTAAACTTGTTTTGTAAAACATTGGTGTGGTAAATTCTTCCATATAAATTTCTTATAATAATATGTTGTTTCATGGAAAACTTGAGAATGAATACCAGATGTTTTGATGTAATCCTTTTTTTTATGTAAGTAACTTTGTAAATAATCCGACATAATCTCCCTTGATGAGCGATGCTCTGGGAGAAATATCTGTAACAAAATATGTTTAAATATACATAAAAAAATATAAAACGTCCTGCATATGTAGATTTCACAGAATGTATGGTGCCGCACAGTGTGACTTTGGCACAAGACAATCGCGACTTGCAAATAAGTAAATTATACGGCATTCCAGTATGTAAGATGACGAAAAGCAGCTACATCCAAAGGCTTATTGACTTGGTCTTTCTACACCTAAGTTATTGGCATGAATATCTAGACATGTTATTTTTCTACAAGGCAAATTGTGGTATCATGTGCCTCTCGGATGCAGTTGTTCCCAAACATAATGAAAACTCACGAATTACAAGATCAGTGGATCCGAACTCCATAAACTTCCAAGTTAGGAAATGTAAAACCTTTACCTACCAACAGACTTATACGATAAGAACAACAAGAATATGGAACATATTACCAGGATCAATAACCGATAAATCTAACTCTCTAATGACCTAATCAGGACCACCTGATGATTCCTATACGGATGAAACAGACTGTTGTGGTTGTTTTGAGGTAAAACGAAAAACTATAGGCCTATATACATATATGTATGGTGTCTATATGTGTGTGTGTGTGTGTGTATGTTTGTGTAACATTGTACTTGTACGTTTACTTTCTGGGATCACATCACATTTGTAATGTTATATATGTAATTATTGTTATTTAGCTTGTAAAATTAAATAAAATTAAAATTAAAAATTTCCTGCAAGTTCGTAAGAAAATGGCAGCGGTGCTACTGACATTGCCGGACAGTTTCCAGCATTGGTGTTTTGTATATATTTTTTAGTCTCACCATAAACAGCATAGCCAACTCCGTTTACAACAGGAACATCCAGTCTCTGTCCATGAATTGATTGCCATTCTCTGGCTAGAAGAAACTTTGCAAAGGAATAGAAAACAATCATGATATTGAACAGGGATGCATTTGTACACTTGTACCGCATGGAGCTCTCTCCTCCGCAGAGGCTTTAGTTGATCCGCCATGTAAAGTGTAGTGAAATGTATCTCAATATACTAATCGTGATAGCCAACAGAAGCTTCTGCGGAGGTGAGAGCCGCATGGCCTGCCAAGAAGGCTGTTTTGCCTAATTGCCAGAATACTGCTGTATGTTGATGGGCGGGCGGCGCACATGACCGACACAACTCGGCACCAGAGCTGGCAGAGCAACTAGATCATGCTGGATCCATCCCTGATTTGAATGGGAAGAATGTTCTTTAGACGATTACCATCACAGAACTTATTTATCCAAGGAAGGCGCAGATAACTGGAATAACTTAACGAGGGATCTGAAATCTATCAAATCATACAAAATATTCAAAAAACTAGTCTATCTACAGGAAAACTCCTAAAACTTCATCCACTTTTGACCTCTTTGATTCCTACTGCATTATCAATATTATAAAAAGTCTCTGTATTGTTTATCATCTAGTATCTTCATTACTATGCCCTAGTTTTATATGAATATTAAACTGCAATTGATAACTTTTCTCGCTTGTATATATAATTTAAATGACCAAAAATCTATGTTTACAATGTTATATGGTATGTTCTATACTAGGGGCCAAGAACTAAAAGCGTCCAATGGTTTCTTTATGGCTCCTAGCCCAAATGATGTATTCTTATCACTTTTGATAATTTTATATCGTGTAAAAAAGGGGGATCAAAAAATATATTTCTGGCATGTCGACGGGGGGCAGACTTATTGGCGTAGTATGCAAGCCTGGAATTTCCCTAAAAGCTCGGAAATTTTCGCCAGTTCTACGGCATTTCACATGGATCTATCATTTTCATCAAAGGCTGCTACGGAAACCAGGGCTCTCAATTCGTGCATGTTGTCATAATTCCCTTACTGAATTTCCGTTAGATTAGGAATAAGATTTCCGTCATTCTGTGTTTCTGGTAAATGGGATATTTATTTTATTCGCCAATTGTCAGTCGCTTCTCAGATTATTTCAATACGTAAAATTCCACAATATTCTTGAAAGAGGGGATAAAATTGAATTAAGAAATTCTCAATGTAACAAGACCACTTCCCTCGGCAAAATTTGCACTACGACAAAAAATAACTTAACACGTAATAACGCACAAATTGTTACAGGTCTGCAAACAAGTTGTTACAAATCTGTTCACAAGCTGTCGACAATTTGTGTTCACACTGCTTGTTCCCAGTTGTTGTTACAAGTTTGGAACAAGCTGTTAACAAATTTTAACGACACATTTTGATGGCATTATCAGACTTGTTACAAGGTTGTTCAAACAAGTGTGATACAGTCATGATATAACAAGAATATGCAAGGTTGACGACACAAGGTTGTAACAATATTGTTATATCATGACTGGAACAACCTTGCAACAAGTCTGATAATACCAACAAGGTTGTCACAACTGCTAACAAGTTGTTCCATACTTGTTCACAACTTGGGACAAGCAGTGCGAACACAACTTGTTGACGGTTTGTTGGCAACCCTGCTGGAGTGCAAAGCTTCCCATCCTTCAAATCAATGCGCTCACAATAAAGTCAGGGTGAAGAACAATATGTTGAGATGTTGTAGGTTAAGTCATAGTACAGGTATAGTGCCAGGTTATATACAATTATTAACTTCCGTAGACGTAGTTATATGACGAACACGCAAACGCCCAGAGGAAGAGAAAGCATTGAGCATTTCCTAATTTACATTATGAGTGCAACCACAAGCATTCGACAACTTACGCACGCTACTTTAATTATTCCTTCTAATTTCAACTTCTCGTCCCCAAAAACTAAATGAAACATTAGCGCAACCGCAAGCTTCCGACCTAGGCATGCTACATTATTTTCTATTTTAATTTTTCATCCCAAAAACTACATTAATCATTATCAGCACAACCACAAGTATTCAACCTATGCACGCTATATAATTTCCAGACCAATCTATTCAGTATACACATGTTTCATTGTTGCAGCTCGGGGAGGTGGGGTGGGTTAGGGTGGGTTAGGTTAATAAATGTCATTCTCTAAACAGAGGAGGTGGGGTGGGTTAGGTTGGAGTGGGTTAATAAATGTCATTCTCTAAACAGAGGAGGTGGGTGGTTATTAAAGAGGGGTCATTTAACAGGGGAGTGAATATTTGAGCAGGGGGCTTAATAGAGGATATATCTCTGTGAGTTGGCTTGGGTATGGGGTCATGCATTTAGTACATATATGCAACTAAGGAGATAGAATTGAAGCAGTTTTTGCACATGCCTATTGTTTAAATGCTGTCATTTCTATTGTTCCTTGCATCTCAAAACAATTTTGCATAAATGGGTGGTCCCTATGTTATATTTACAAGACATGCTCATACCTGATGTTGGTTGGTTGGATCAGCGCCACTGGTTGGTCGTAACAGTAAGGGTGGTGGTTGTGGTGGCATTGAAGAGCGGTGAAAATGATGGTGATGGTAGTTATCACCAGCTGAACTGTGACAGCATCGTGAATGGTCAGGACAGCATTCGCGATCGCCATTGGAATGGTTACATGTATTGTGGCTATGGTGATGGCTGCCATCTCTGAGCTCCCTAGACGTGGAATTAGCAAAATGTAATTCAACAATCTATATATCAAAATACAGTGGGTCCCTTGACCTATTAAGCTGCAATGCACCCAAATGCACCTTACTTTATCATTTTAATCTGTCTGATGCCAGATAATTGTAATTATTAAGAAGACTTCTTGGGGAGTTGCATTGCACATTAATACAGCCTAGTGTTTCATTTTACTCTGTCTAATGCCAGATGATTTTATTTATCAATGGGAGAGTGCTGGCTCTCAATGGCTTTATCAGAGTATATCTGTCTATGTGCCTAGTCAACCCATTAAGTTGCATTGCACCCCAATATGCCCTGCTTTATCATTTTACTCTGTCTAATGCCAGACAATTTTACTCGTCAAGGGGAGAGCATCACTTTACTCTGTCTAATGCCACATAATTTTACTTGTCAAGGGGACAGCGCTTGGCGCTTGCAATTAATGCATAAATGGGTTTAACAAAACCATCTGACTGAATGTGTCTTGTTTACACATTAAGTTGCAATGTGTTCAAATGCAACCTGTTTTATTATTTTTTGCCAGAAATTTTTCCTGTCAATGGGAGAGTTTATTTGTATATATGAATGGTCATATCCCAGCACCAATTGATAAAGTCACACCATTGCTAACTGTAACACGTACCTGTCTCCATGATCCTTTTTAAAATGTGGTGAATGACGGTGACTATGACTACCTTCACTGTGAGCACACCCACAGGTTGAGGGTCGAATGATGGCCAGGGAGTTCTCGGACGTCGATGGATTCATAGGTGTTTTGTCAAAGTCAACGTGCAGGACGTGTCTAGCGTCAGGTACCTCACCACCGCAATGGTTACATTCTGGTTTTGACGAGCGGGAATAGTCACGATCACCCGGGGCAATGGTGACGATCATAGGAATGGGGCTTCTATTTATTTTCCTGTCACTTGTCATCTAGTAATCAATAATTGAACAGTTGATTTAGCAGCATTAATTAATTCATAATTAACCCTTTAAGTAGCAACACACCCTGATGTGCCCTAGTTTATTATTTTATTATGTCTAACACCAGACAACTTTACTAATTGTCAAGGTGAGTGTGCTGCCCTACTGTCAGGTTACACTGCATGCCCTACTTTTGTTAACCCATATTGAGCAGCAGCACTCTCCCCTTCACAAGTAATTAAAATCGTCTGGTGTTGGACAGAGTAAAACAATGAAGTAGGCCAGACCGCATAGCTCAGTTGGCAGAGCATTGGGCTAGTATACCCTTAGGTTCGATTCCCACCGTGGTCAGGCATATTTTTCGAGCTTGCCCGGTGTGGATATACACTCAGAGTAACATCACAAGCATCAGGCCACTTCATTGTTTTACTCTGACCAACACCAGACAATTTTACTTGTGAAGGGGAGAGCATAAGGGTTAACAAAATAATCTGACAATGTAGCACGCACATTCGATGTGCCTTGTTAATTAACCCATTAAGCTGCATTGTACTATGATGCACATTACTTTATTGGTTTACTAGCGGTAGACAATTTTACTGTCAAGTGGAGAGCACAGGTGCCCAATTATGGGTGTTTTTTTCATTTTTATCATAGGCTATCACCTATGGTGCAATAACTTTGCAGATTGACAAAAATTATATATGGTACATTGCAAAATTAAGTTTAATTGATCCATAAGAGTAAACTAAATGGAGTATCCATTTATACCTAATAATTGTAACAGGAGAATGCCTCGCGTCACAGGTCTTAAAGTCCTGTTTGCGCTCTTGCCGCTTGAACATTGTTAAAATTACAAAACAAAACTAGTATGTGTGAACTCAATCCAAAGCGTTCGATCAACCGACACAGGAATTGTCAAGGGGCTGACTCTAGCGGTTGATCTGTACATAATGTGTACATATTAGGCAGACAAGTTTTCTAAAGCCAGGCTTACATGCTACAATTTTAGTTGGATAAATTATATGTTTTTTAGTTTAGGTGCATATTAGAATGGGTTGTTCCAAAAAAGATCCACATTCCCTAATAGAGGAAATTTCTACTGGCCGGGCTAGGGAAGACAAATGTGTTTCTGATAATAGTAAATGTATTATGACATCCAAAGGGTGTAGCAGGGTTAACGTCCAATTTCCTCTGTGGGGAGGTATGGATGTTTTCTGGAATGGCCCAATGAAAAATTGGCAGTCATATGATCTATGGGCTCATTTTTCCTGCTTTTTTGCATTCGTTTTGTTATAAATACCATGTACCCAAAGTGTGTTGCAGATGTTTGCAACAAAACCTTGGTGTGTTTTAGGAGATAAACATGAATCATTGAAATATTTCATGACAATAAAAGCAGGCAGACTGCTGTCTAAAAAGCTTACAAAAGACATGGGAAGATTTGTTGGTTAATTATTAATGTACCTATCAAGGGAAGATGGAAACAGAAAAACTATGTCATATGCAGTTCTGATAGAGGTTAATATTGATTTGAATAGGCATTTATTTTAAATATAACCCGATTGATGGATCCCCATATAAACAGGAACACTCTTGTGTATCAAATTAAAAATATTAACATCATTAATGAATATAGGAACTGTTAATATTTTACCAAATAAAATCACTTGACAATGATTTATGTTATAAAGTTATGATATATAACCTTTACCAAAGAATAGATAACATTCTGAAACAAAAATTATATTTCCAAGGAAATGAATGTCATGCGTCATGCTCAAAAATTAACTTCTTGTAATTTGACCTTGGTTGTTGCAAATTAATGTATTTTCGCTAAAATTTTCAAGTTGTTTTTTTTTAAATACACCTGGTTTGAGACGAACCTTTTTACTTTTCGGGCCTTTCATTATTAAGCAAGTGCCATTATTTATAACGCGAGAGAAGTCCAAGGAATGGCTGCCTTCTTTGTACCATGTAATAACTTCCTTTGTCGAAACACGACTCCGCTCTACAAGCGTCGACAGAAAACGCCGGCTTCTAAAAAATTTAAATGTACAATGAGATTTACAAAATTACGAATGTTACAAAATGAAAGGTACTTAAAAAGTATTCAAAGATATATGGCATATGAAGAAAGATTGACAGTTTTTATTGAAACGCTTGTTAACTTTTGGCAGGAAAACAATGCTATAAAGTTTATGCAAATTCTGTAACTTTATATATTATTCGGCGGTAAATAAGCCTTGTAATCACAAAGTTTCGTTTTATTTACTTCGCCAAAGCTTCTTGTCGCCATCTCAGAAGACAAAACAAGGCAAATAGGTCGAAAATTGGGCCACATTAACCCTCAGGAAGCCAAAGTCCACATCGAATTACAAAACAATTTTGAGACAAAATCTAAACAAGAACTTTTATGTCGCAAAATAAACTGTACCTAACTTCGGTAAATAAAACTTGTAAATTCTGAGGACTCAAACGGCAAATCCCAGTGAATAAATAACATAATTTAACACTATTTCTTTCCAAAATTCCTGCCAAAAGCCTAAACAACGACGCGAGGTGATTGGGTTTACATGAACGACGAATCGACGATAGCAGCTGTTAAATTTCACAAATAACAACAAGTAAACACCACGCCAATTCAGTGTCGTTTTCGTACATTTTCAAGCTATCTTTAAACCCCACATACAACTTTCATACTTTACCTTTAATAAAGCACAAGTTCGCCTACAAAATTGAACAAAAACAAGCGAAATTTAAAGCAAAGACAGTCGACTAAACAATATTAAAACAACAACTTACGCGCGGCTGGCTATCAAGTAGGTAATTAATAATTCTCTTCTAGACTTGACAACACAAATCCGATGCGTTCGTCCTGAAACTGTTGTTTGTTTGTAGCAAAAATGCTTCTTTAGATGTACGGTAAACAGACAGAACGGTTCACTCAAGCAAAAGCGAGAATTTGGTCACGTCGTTCGGTTGCAGGAAACATTGTTGTTTCTTTAAGACCAACCACCCACGGGCAATCGCCTCGAATACATAAGTGTCTTGACGTCAGTGCCTCATTTACATTTGAGCCACCGGTAAATAACAACAAAAATAAACAAACCTAAAGACGGATTATTAATAACTTCTGGCGTGGGTTTATGTTTTAAATGAAAACACAAGTGAAATTTCATCGTTTTTAATCCCTAATGTTTTAACCACACTATATATTTAGCGACATTGGCATATTTTACTGAGGAACACTTTACACTTCGTTCCAATTTTCTTAGAATTTCGGAATTCCGTTTTAAAACTTTCTCGCGGCGGCCAAGGCTTTTTGGCGCTATTTGGATATGCGAAGCGTTGACAGGCATATCAAATGCACGATACAAAAGAAGTGAATAATTACTGCCTAGTGGGATTATTTTCATTATTTCACAATGTTTTGTTTAGCAGTCTGTGTAAACACTTGCACATGCGTCTCAACAGAGACAAAGGTCGTGGCTCGCGGATTAATTGCTGCGTGGGACGTGGGACGAGGATAGAGCATTAAATGGTTCAAGATATATTTAATTGTTTCAGATATCAGATAGTATTTCATACGTTTCTCAAAATTCGAAAATTTAACCAAGTTAAATAGTCATCAAACTGTTTTCGATGGCAGTATTTTCATTACAATATCTGTTACATATAATGTTGCGTAGTGTTAGTACTGTGATACAGCGCAGTCAGTAGTGTTACACATTGTCATTGATAGTGTTACAAACTGTTACAGTGATAAGGCCCATTTCCAGAAAGAAAATTTTGTAAAATGTGATTGGCCTACACAAATTTTCCGTCGGAAAAAAATTTTGAAGTTGAAAGTTTTCAACTTTTAACAATGATATTTTCGGAAAATTTTCTGTCCGTGGAAATTTGAAAATTGAGTAAAAATGGATCTTAAAACATTGTGCTACATGGAATAACGAAGTGTTGGACCACTTTGAGGCTGATTTATACTACACAACTTTTGCCTAAAACTGTCGTATGCAACCTGCTTACAACTTGAGTTGTACTGTGTAAATCAAGCCAGTGGCGTAACGTTATATCAGGGGGCCCCCGGTTCAAAATTTTCGAAGGCCCCCCTAGGCGCCGTATATTTCTAGGGGGTCAAGAGCATGCTCACCTGGAAAATGTTTTAATCTAGAGTATCTGAAATGCCATTTCCTGGACATTGGGGAGAGATTTTACAGAATTCTGATGGTCAGAAAACGACATTGTGACATTATCAGAGGCCCTGGACAATGTTTTTGCTCCACAGCCTGAGCCTGGGGCCCCCATTTGGCCCATTGGGGTTTGGGGGGCCCCGGGTTCGCCCGGTCCGAGCCCGTAGTAGTTACGCCACTGAATCAAGCACACACTGACTAGCCTAGGAGTTATGGTGTACACACGTAAAAACGAACAAGTTGTAACAAATCTGCAGCAGACTTGTAGCAATGCTATTCCAACGGCTTGTCAACAGGATGTGTTCGCACTGCTTGTTCCCAGCTTGTTGACAAGTTGTCAGCAGTCAGCGATTGTTGACAACTCGCTACAAGGTAGTTGAGCTCAACAGACTTGTTACAAGTTGTTCCAACAACTTGTTATCTGGAAGTTGTAAGTGACAACCTTGTAGCAACTTGATAAAATAACAGCATTGTTACAACTTGTTGACAAGCTTGCTACAAGCCTGTCGCAAACACATCTTGTTGACAAGTTGTCAGATTTTTACGTGTGCAACACACAGTTACCAATCTCGTCCCCAGGATCTCATCTTTTCTCGCGCGCCACCACGACGACTCTGGGACGAAGTTGGACCTCACATCAGTACCGCAAGTCGCGAGATATTTGCGTGTTTGGAAAAATCCGCCTCCCCCCCACGTTCCTCGTGTAGCATTCACGAGCCACGACCATATGAGATATCTATGGCCACGACCCTCGAGTTTTGTCGCTCTGACAAACCTGCTATTGTAAACATGCCAAAAAAGCTTCGGAAGAAACACTCTTCACTTCAACTGTTTCACTTCCTTAAGATCTAACATATCTATATATCTGAAACGTCAAACCGTTTGCAGTATTAAGATATTGATAATCTTGTTCAATTTGAGTTATTTGTATGCTGTCAGCAAGGTCAAGCAAGGTATTTTGCAAACGGAAATTAAAAGTTGCTGAATGCGCATTTGTTTACATTAGAAAATGACCCAGTGATGTGTCGCAATAATGGCAAATAATTGATTCCGAGAGTTGCTAAGCAATTCGGGCAAACTACGCGAATGTTTACACGCATTTAAACATGACCTTAGTAACTTGGCCAATTTATATTTCCGGCATTTTGGGTAATTTTTCAACACACTGTCACTGGAAGCGTCTTGTTTACTGTTCAGGGTATCAATATTATCAAGCCGTTCGATCAATCCTTTGTGGCCTTCGAGAATAACAATTAGAACAAGCTGAGCTTTTGTTTATGCAGATGCGACACGCCAACGCGAGTAAACAGTTAGTGTAATTATGTAATTTTGGCATGGCGGAAAAGACGGAGTGCGGAGTACGGAGACTAGCTGAAAGTTTTTCATTACGGTAGGCAATCGATTTTTATCATTTTCCACCACGAAGTCGGTCGAGTTTTAAAAAGTGTTTTTTAAGCTTAATATCTATGTTCACCATAGATACGGCCACCTTTACCCATCTATGGGCAGTGCTATTTACGGGCAGTTTGCAGCCGGGGTACGTGGGTACGGGGTGCGAATTTGCCAAATTTTGATTTCAAATTAAGATTTGGTATGAATAATGTATGCTTACAAAGAAGTAAAGAACGTTGCGACCGGTATTATTAACGATTGCACTTAATTTCGCATGCGGTCAATATTCCCAAATGCATCCGTTAATAAAGCAGATGAATCGGGAGAAAAACAAATATAACCTTTTCATAATATCATGACCCCACGTTTCCTACATTCCCTGTTTTAAAGATAGCCAAACCATGCAAATATGCGTCCCACATATGTCCCGCATTTGGCGTGAAACTGAGTCACACTGAGTCATCAGCGTTAAACAATGAGCCATTTCCCTCACACATTGTTTTTTAATTTAAACATTAAAACATGGTTTACATTATCAAAGTTTCTGTGATCACAGTAGGAATTTTGCATTGGTAAATTCTAAGTTTTGAAGGATTTGTAAGAAATGTTTGAGGAAACTTACTGAGTGTTATAAAGGATGGTTTATACTATCAAAGTTTCTGTGATCACAGTAGGAATTTTGCATTGGTAAATTCTAAGTTTTGAAGGATTTGTAAGAAATGTTTGAGGAAACTTACTGAGTGTTATAAAGGATGGTTTACACTATCAAAGTCTCTGTGATCACAGTAGGAATTTTGCAAAGGTAAATTCTAAGTTTGAAGGATTTGTAAGAAATGTTTGAGGAAACTTACTAAGTGTTATAAAGGATTGTTTACACTATCAAAGTTTCTGTGATCACAGTAGGAATTTTGCAAAGGTAAATTCTAAGTTTTGAAGGATTCGTAAGAAATGTTTGAGGAAACTTACTGAGTGTTATAAAGGATGGTTTACACTATCAAAGTTTCTGTGATCACAGTAGGAATTTTGCAAAGGTAAATTCTAAGTTTTGAAGGTTTTGTAAGAAATGTTTGAGGAAACTTACTGAGTGTTATAAAGGATGGTTTACACTATCAAAGTTTCTGTGATCACAGTAGGAATTTTGCAAAGGTAAATTCTAAGTTTTGAAGGATTTGTAAGAAATGTTTGAGGAAACTTAATGAGTGTTATAAAGGCTGTCTTACTCTATCAAAGTTTCTGTGATCACAGTAGGAATTTTGCATGGGTAAATTCTAAGTTTTGAAGGATTTGTAAGAAATGTTTGAGGGAACTTAATGAGTGTTATAAAGTCTGGTTTACACTATCAAAGTTTCTGTGATCACAGTAGGAATTTTGCATAGGTAAATTCTAAGTTTTGAAGGATTTGTAAGAAATGTTTGAGGGAACTTAATGAGTGTTATAAAGTCTGGTTTACACTATCAAAGTTTCTGTGATCACAGTAGGAATTTTGCATATGTAAATTCTAAGTTTTGAAGGATTTGTAAGAAACGTTTGAGGAAACTGACTTAGTGTTATAAAGGATGGCTGACACTATCAAAGTTTCTGTGATCACAGTAGGAATTTTGCAAAGGTAAATTCTAAGTTTTGAAGGATTTGTAAGAAATGTTTGAGGAAACTTACTGAGTGTTATAAAGGATGGTTAACACTATCAAAGTTTCTGTGATCACAGTAGGAATTTTGCATTGGTAAATTCTACGTTTTGAAGGATTTGTAAGAAATGTTTGAGGAAACTTACTGAGTGTCATAAAGGATGG